AAAAAAAAAAAAAAAAAAAAGAAGAAATTCTTGATTTTAAGGTACTTTACATATTTTGAACGATTCACTTTATTGTGAAGTTCGCCACAACACTCCCCTGTTGATACTGCCTATCTCTTAGTGCGGGGTTTGTCCTTTAAATCAAAACAAGAAATTGGGACTCTTATAAAGTGCGTTACTTGTGTGCATGTTTTGTCCAACGTTGACCCCCCCCCCCCCACCCCCACAACTGCTCAATATTAGATTCAATAAAAGATTTATACGAAAATCTTTGGTTTTAAAGGGATCGTTTAATTCCTATTGCAATAAAATCGTGAGCGAAGTGAAGCCACGTACGACTTATGCTTTGACTTGACAGCACAGCTATAAAAGTCGTTTATTTTTGAAAGACAGAGATGAGATGAAATGAGAGAGATGAGTTAATGCATCTGTGGTGATTGGGGGGAAATTATTATTATATTTTTTGCATGGCAGTTTAAAGTATTATTGTCTGATGGATGTGTTAGCCAATCAATGAAGAAACGCAACTTTTAAACGTCTCACGGTTTATTGTGACTTCTTACTACACATCAACCTAGTAGTGTGGTACTACACAATGGTGAAACTGTCAGGCGATGTAATGGTGGAACTGCTCTATTTCCTTTTTGAATCGGAAAAAAATATTCATGTAATATTGGGCAACCTATTCTCTCGGCCTTGACTGATAGATTGAACACCCCCCAACACCACCCACTCCCCCCCTCCCGACACACACACAAATTTTTGAAAAGAATTTGCTGGTTCCCATGCAATATATATATACTTATTTTTAGGGCAAGCTTTAATTCAAGTCTTTATGAATATGCTTTTTAATTGTGGTTATCTAAAAGTCTTACTGTGTTATTATTCTGACGCCAGGGACGAACTTGAAATGTGGCCAATCCCTCAATTCACAGTGAAGTCTAACAATGCACTTATTTTATGTAAAAAAAAAAATAATAATAAAAATAAAAACAAATAAAATGAAAGAGTGTGCCGTTAAGTATACTAAAAATAAGCAGTGTAATCAGAGCCTTCACATGAGTCCTGGCAACCGGTGTAATCAGAGCCTTCACATGAGTCCTGGCAACCGGTGTAATCAGAGCCTTCACATGAGTCCTGGCAACCGGTGTTATCAGAGCCTTCACATGAGTCCTGGCAACCGGTGTTATCAGACCCTTCACATGAGTCCTGGCAACCGGTGTAATCAGAGCCTTCACAAGAGTCCTGGCAACCGGTGTAATCAGAGCCTTCACATGAGTCCTGGCAACCGTTGTTATCAGACCCTTCACATGAGTCCTGGCAACCGGTGTTATCAGAGGGTTCACATGAGTCCTGGCAACCGGTGTTATCAGAGCCTTCACAAGAGTCCTAGCAACCGGTGTTATCAGAGCCTTCCCATGAGTCCTAGAGACCGAATGCCACATTTCGGGTTTGCGCCCCCTGCACTCGAAAGTTAAGCGTTATTTCTTTCCTTAAAATGTCCGAGGCTCTGGGTGTTGATCTAAAAGAAAGCGCGTTCAACAATTTTTCAACCGCTTTTTCAAAGTATGGTTGCCGGGAGGTAAATTTGGGGGGGGGGGGGGTGTTTGGCGAGGGGGGGGAGTCGAACAATCCTTTCCCAGGGTCTCCTAAGACCATCGGAAAACACATATACTCAAAAGTTATGAAGAAGCAACGAAAATAATTTTGAGGTTCGGGGTCGCCACAACGTGAGTAACTGTATTATAGGGTTGCGGCATTAGGAAGGTTGAGATCCACTGGTCTAGTTTGTAACTTCATTTTTTTTAAAATTGCAGCAAGATATGTTAAGACAAAACACTCTTTATTTACGTCACATGGCTTTCACGCACTCCCCCATAGATTATTAATTTAGTACCTTCCTTTAAAATAAAAGTCAGTTACTCTTTGCACGGGTGGTCTAACTCAAGAGGCCAGAGTCTAAAGAATGGTGTCACACTGCCATCGTGTGATGCCTTTATGTATGTTATAATAAAAGGAGTCACAGTAAAACGAGCATGTTCTCCTCTTCGGGTGAGATCCATTTTAATATAATTCACTAACAAGTTTGTCACTCTAGACCAGTGGTTCTCAAAAAAAAATGTCCGGGTTTTCGGCCGCCCCCCCTCCCCCCACACACACTTTTGAGGACCACTGGCCTCAACGTATATAAAGTTTTTGAATTACAGCCACAAGCCGTTTCATTAATCTTCATCATAATGAGCTAAGTCGGTTACGTTGTTTATGCAAAGAGGAACAAGAATTAACAGAGAGTAGTGTTTGTGGATAGGACTACTTGTGGGAGTCTGTTATTCTGTGTTCAATAAAGTTGCGCAGCATGGGAATGGCGCATAAGTTAATAAAGGAAATAATTCATGTTAGTTTTATTTTTGAAAATTTAATTTAGTTGTTTTTTCTCTTTAATTAGCGTTGTTGTGTTGTTTTTTTTAAATGTGTATATAAATACCTTATCAGGTTTTAAATATATATATATATTATCTGATTTGACTGTACTCCAAGTATTCCTGTCAGTTTGATCTCAATGGGAGTCGCTTAGTCACTTCCTTGTTTGGTCACGTGATGTGAGTAAGCCATCACTAGGCTGCTACACACAACAAAAGATACTTCATCAGTGCTTCCCCAATGTCACGTTACTTAAAAATTTTACCTTTCGTAATATTCTGGAATGCAAGCGTTTTTTTAAATGAAATCCATAAATGTGACAGTAAATATACGTCAGTTATGATTAAAGGAAGAAAGTTATTTCAAGAAAAATTTGTGAGCGACATTCGATGGGAACTATCAATACTATTATCGGCAGGATGTTGGTGAGCTCCGTGCGTGCTCATGACGTCATTTGCGTTGTTATTCAATATTGATGCAGGAGTCATTCCCCTTTGTTTATTTTATTGTTAATATTCATTGGACGAAATGTAGTGTAGTTGTAGTGTGTATCGGGCTACTGTTGTCAAGCACTAGTGTGTTGTATACAGCCTACCGGAAGTCTTACTTGTTTTTACTCACATCACGTGACAAATCAATCGACTAAGCGACTCCCATTGTAAATGAAGCATTATGTTTGTAATCTCTTGTCCTGAATATCTAATGTGCTTGCGAAGATCTCAAATCAAAAAGAACACGGCCAATGGATTTGAACATTTCAACACATGTGCCACTGAGATCATCTGCGCAATGATAATCGCCTAAAGCTGCATTTATCGCCACTTTATCCCCGTTGATTGCGATATTACATTGATTTTATTTTTACAGGCAAAGTATTTATACATAACACTTAAGTTGAAGCACTATGTATTCCAACAATATTTTTACAAATATATTTTTGGTCAAAAAAAAGAAACCACCACAAAACAGCAAACCATCACGAGTGGTGTCCATTCATGACGAAATTCTTATTTACAAAACGCAAATATTTTCTCAAACGTGTTTCTTCTTCGTGCTTAATTTCCTTCGCATTTTGCCGTTTTATTTATGATCGTCTTTTAATGGCGTTTTTAAAAAAAATTATTTATTAAATCACATCATTGAAATGAATTGTCTCAACGTCTATCAGTCTCTATTATTACGGCTGAAAACATTAAGGCTATTATTTACTGACAATGCTGGTTAAACTGATCAATAATCTGGAAAAGAAATGACGATCAAAGAGTCTATAACGCAAATTCCTGACATCTTTTGTTGTACAATTCATTTGCATATCTGAATGTTACCCCTCCCCCCCCCGGGGGCCCGTTTATTAATGTGTGTCACGTGCATGTGCTTCAAGCGTCCATTTGTGGCCATAAGTGCATCATATGTGTCAATTTGTGGCCATAAGTGCATCGTATGTGTCAATTTGTGGGCATAAGTGAATCGTATGTGTCAATTTGTGGGCATAAGTGCATCATATGTGTCAATTTGTGGGCATAAGTGCATCATATGTGTCAATTTGTGGGCATAAGTGCATCATATGTGTCAATTTGTGGGCATAAGTGCATCATATGTGTCAATTTGTGGGCATAAGTGCATCATATGTGTCAATTTGTGGGCATAAGTGCATCATATGTGTCAATTTGTGGGCATAAGTGCATCATATGTGTCAATTTGTGGGCATAAGTGCATCATATGTGTCAATTTGTGGGCATAAGTGCATCATATGTGTCAATTTGTGGGCATAAGTGCATCATATGTGTCAATTTGTGGGCATAAGTGCATCATATGTGTCAATTTGTGGGCATAAGTGCATCATATGTGTCAATTTGTGGGCATAAGTGCATCATATGTGTCAATTTGTGGGCATAAGTGCATCATATGTGTCAATTTGTGGGCATAAGTGCATCATNGGGGGGGGGGGGGGGGGGGGGGGGGGGGGGGAGGGGTTACAGTACTGTTTGCCTTTTTCAACATCTAAGGATGTCACAATGAAACAAGAGCTAAGTAAAACAGAGGTGAAATGAAGTGGACTGATTTTACAACAACAAAACTAACGCGGTTGAACGTCTATTCTATGAATCATCCATTTCTCTTCCCATGACTTTTTGAAGAGGCTTTTTAACATCTCATGGACCATTTATCTCATATCTCCGTAAAGACCCTTCAGGTCATTTAGGTTCGCTATTTCATCAAAAACATTCTTTGGCTTTTCTAAATTTTGCTTCGAACTAACCGTCGCGTTCCTTATATTCCAATAAATCTGCACAGCCTCAACATTGTTGTATGTTTGATTCTCTCACGCGATGGAAAGAATCTATTTACGTTCTAGAAGGAAAGATGTCTAAGGACCAAAACCAAGATGGACAACAGGATAACAACAATTTAACGTTTTGGAATATATATATAAATATATTTTTTAAAATTTCAAGTACAGTTACGAGCCACTTTTTCCCTTTATCTAAATTGCGTCGTTGACAATGAAATTTGGTTTCATGCCTTTGATATAATTCACTAATGATGAAGTCTCCTGATCAATCCACACAAAAAAAAAACGAGTCACTTCAAGTTCAAGCAGGTTAAACTTCCTGTCTTATACCATCCATCACCACGTCACCAACTTGAAGAGGGACGATTGAGGAGCTGGAGAAACAATTTAGTGTATGTGTTGAGGGTTGGAGGTTATTTTAACGATCGTAAAAAATTTAAACCATCATACGCAACCTCGCAAAGAAATGTGCCTCGACTGGATGCGGTGCAAATGTTATCATTCATCTTCCAACTCATCGACTGCTCAAGTGTTAGACAAAGTTCAGCTACCAAGTTGTTCGGTTCTCCTTCTGCCCATGCTGTAAAAGAAACCGGTTTTTTGCTGCTTCGATAGATCCAGTCCTTATTACGCATGCGCCCGGGTCTCGGCGTAGATCTATACTCTGCTCCGGTGTACACCGTTTGAAACCCGGGCAAATCTTTGATAAAACTGACTATGAAATTGTATTCGCCCTGGTCATTGATCTCAGCGAGGTATCCACCGAATCTCTTGCACCATAAATCCGACTCTTCCAGTGACTTCCCATTCATGTTTTTGGGGAGTAAGTAGATCGAGTCATCGTACCTTTTTGACGCGAAATAAAATTGTTCTATATACAGGAGGGCAACTTTCCAACGTCTTAACTCGGCTTCCGTTTCGGCTGCTGTGAGATTCCCTGGGAACATCACGTCTCGAAATGATTGGTTTGTTTCGTTTAAACCGTTTCGGAAAATCGGCGTGCTGTTTTTATTCTTTGACATCTCATCCGCCGTAACGCTTAGACGCTCTAGGGAGGACAGCCGTGAACTCATCGCCATGCTTGTGTTTTGATATTGTTTAACTTGAGTCTCAAGGGCAACTATTTGAGCGGTTGCGTTTTCGTTTTGAATTTTTAAAGTGGCGAGTTCACTTTGAACTTCAGAATGGTCTTCGACTCTGAGTTTTTCCATTTCCGATAACACTGATATTAAATGGTTGCTGATATTTTCATACGCCTCAAGTTCCGACTCAAGAGCCCCGATTTTGAAATCATGACTAAGCTGCGTTGAGGACAAATCTGTGATGTCGTCACTGAAGTTTCTGTACTGCTCCGACTGCCTTTTATTTATTGTCAGAATTTCCCCCACGGCTTCCTCGACAACCGACTCCAGATTTTCTAGTTTTTGTCGCGACTCTTTGTTCAGGCTTGACCTGGTGATTAGAACTTGTGCGTTGTCTGACAACACCATTGGCTGGCTATTCTTTCTAATCCCGTGGGCGGTACACTTGTACGTGTCTGGGGCATCAAAGTTTGGTTCGTCTATCACAAAACTGAGATAAGACTTTTCTCTCGGCTGGATATAGCCCAGAGCTATTACATTCCAGTTCGAAGGTGCTACTCTCACTTGGCTTGAGAACACGCTGATAGACGCAATGTCTTGTAGGCCATTGGTGTTTGTGACTGTAAAGGGGCTTTCCGATTTCTCTACGTCAGTCACATGTTCGCGTAAGCCGGACACAACAAGGGATACCAATGTGACCATTCCTTGGCCCGTTTCCGGTACGTAGCTGCAGTGTACGTGTAAAGAACGTGTACGGCCAACTTCCACACTTCTTGGATAAACTTCGAGATGAAGTGAACCATCTGATAAAGAAGAAATCGATGTAAACTTGTTAGCGCTAAAGCTCCTCCCTTTGCGTCTAAATCAGTGGCATTCATGGCAACTACATGGGAACTGGGGCGAACAGCTCAACTTGCGCCCCAACCATTGACCCGCTTTCAACCATTTTTGAACTTTTCGATAGAAACAAGGTTAACAGATTTTTTTTTAAAAATCATGTATTTGTATAATTTTAAAAATCTGCTCTCCCCCCCCCCATTTTTTTTCTTTTAAAAAAAAAAAAAGAAAGAAAAAAAGAACAAAAAATGTGCACCCTTCCAAAGTGTCTCTAGGGACGTTTACACCTTCATCATCCCCCCCCACCCACTTTTTTTTGTTTAACCTCAGGTTAGCCACTGGTCCAAGTTAAAATGTCCTATTATAATCAGAATGGTCACTGCCTATGTGTTGAATTAGTTATGTAACATGTTCTCAAAATGCATTGTCATTTATTTGAACCAATAAACGAATCATTTCTAAGTCCAGGCCTGTAAGTCCAGGCCTGTAAGTCCAGGCCTGTAAGTCCAGGCCTGTAAGTCCAGGCCTGTAAGTCCAGGCCTGTAAGTCCAGGCCTGTAAGTATGGTCACCATAAAGGAAGCCGACGATTCATTTATTACAATGCGTTTCTCAAAGTCAAATTTAAGAAAAAACGACCAAAGGTCAAGGCGAGTCAAATATCAAGTGAGCTGCTGTTATACATTCTTGCACTCACGTACGATCACGTCACGTTGAACGGCCAGTGAGTCAAATATCAAGTGAGCTGCTGTTATACATTCTTGCACTCACATACGAACGAGTCAAGTTCAACAGTAGGTGAGTCAAACATCAAGTGAACTACTGTTATACATTGTTGTACTCACATACGAACGAGTCAAGTTCAACAG